ACTGGAGACCAGTCCAGGTGTCCCTGTGATGGACTGGAGACCAGTCCAGGTGTCCCTGTGATGGACTGGAGACCAGTCCAGGTGTCCCTGTTCTCTCACACAACTGGTGAAAATGGGCACCAGCTCCCTGCAGCTCAAAAAGGGAAAAGCAGTAAAGAAAATGTATAGTTGAACTCATAATTACTGGGTCCTAAATGACTTGCTCTGGTCTTTTTTTGCACAGTTGAATCCAGATGTGAACGTATTCCAGCGTAAGTTTGTGAATGAAGTGAGGAGATGTGAGGAGATGGACAGGAAACTAAGTGAGTACAGTTTAAGCTTTTTTCCACTGGTAAATATGGTAACTGGTTGATTCTTGAGCTCTTCTCTGAACAGGGTTTGTTGAAAAGGAGATCAAAAAAGCCAACATCCCCATGGTGGACACCGGAGAGAACCCAGAAGTACCTTTTCCCAGAGACATGATTGACCTGGAGGTAATCAGAGCTGGAGCAGGTCATGTAGTCCAGTCCTGGAAAATAAAAACATATTTTAACAGATATTTGTCCATATGTGTTATATAATTCCACTGTGTACTTTTCATCTCTGACACTGAGGGTTAGCTGAAAGTGAAAGTGTGGCGGCTCTTCCCTGCAGGCAACGTTTGAGAAGTTGGAGAATGAACTAAAGGAGATCAACACCAACCAGGAAGCTCTGAAGAAGAACTTTCTGGAGCTGACTGAGCTCAAACACATCCTGCATCGAACCCAGCAGTTCTTTGATGAGGTTCAAGTGTTTACGTCTCACCTGTAGACTGTCACTTCCTGTGTTTCCATTCACCATGAAAATGTGCAAATTAAAATTTCTAAAATAAATTTACTCAATGGAAACACTTCAATTAAAAAAATTTTACGTTTTTCAACAAAATGTTTTTGCACTAGGATGAGGTGGTTTTTCAGCCGTATCTAAATTGGTGTTTTTCACAAAACTGCAATGGAAACAGTTTTTTCACATCACAGGAGTCACGTGATCAACAACCGTCTGTTTCTACTGGTGAAAAAGACGATGATGAAGAAGATAACAGGAAGTAGAAGTAGTTGTCATGAATCTAGTCTGCTTTCTGCTTAACCATGTCATAGTCATGTCTCCCTGCTCATTGCTTCTGCCC